ATCTGTATTAACAACAACCCATTTTCATTTTTTTTACAAATAAGATATATTTTGAAACAGGCAAAAACATTACATAGTAATATTTTGGCATCACAAGGAATTTTGAATCATAAAAAATCGTTTTATTCGTCCTTCAATATCGTTGTCGAAACAACTATTAAGTTTTTCAGCCTTTTTTTGTTTATTTATTTATTTATTTATTTTTTTCAAACTTGAAACTCTCATTGAAATTTTGTTTAATATGACAAAATAGTTACAATATCGTCTACGCTTTCTGGATTGTATTAACGTTCTTCTGCGTCAGACATGTGTTCCAATAACATTTTAAATAATTTTTTTGTTTCCTTGTTTTAGGTGTATATTTATTTTCTGCCTCGCGTAAAGCACATAAATTGTCATTATAGCCCTCTTTCACGACGTCCTGGATCAGGATTCTCGTCTAGTGAAACGAAATACAATTCAGTAAGCGTTTTACATAACATTTAGAAATCAATCCAAAAATCTCTTTTCCACTTACTTTTGTTATGTTTGTTTAAAAAGAATAGAAAAAAAAAAATAAAAACGAAGCGAAACAAAAAAACAAAAAAACCAGAAGTATACACCTGAGGAAATCTTACTACAATTATTTCAAAAATGCTAAAATGTCCAACCTACAGCACAAGTCTTTCAAAACTGTTGATTCTCGAGTGTTTTTTAGAAACATACAATTCCATGTTAGTCATGAAACATGTCAAGTTTGAAAATAGTTTAGTTGAAAACAAAACAAGAGTAAATATCTGAACTTTACAATTATAAAACGGACGAATAGAAGTTTAAAAAGGCCGATCAGGGTACCTTACTTTATGTCTTGATAGTAGCAAGCTTGCAAGGGAGGCCTGAAAATGTTGTAGGTGACCATGTCATAACACGTCCCGAGAAACGTTTTGACGGGTTATAAAAATAAAGTTGTACTTACCCGCAATAGGTCCAGCAATGCAAGTACTGATACCCTTGAGAGTCATCATCACTCCCATCGCAGCAGAATAGTCTTGTGGTTGTACAAGCTTCATGGTTGTAACGGTAGAAGTAGTGATACACACACCAAGGTTTATCCCATAACAGACCAGAAGGACGGTACACTGGGTAAATGTTTTTGCATGAGGGAGCAATGCAGTCGCTGTCGATCCGATTATTGTGAAAAAAGCAGGAAGAATGAGGACGCTGGTGTGAGGAATGTACTTTTTACACAATCCGGGTAAAAATGTTGACAGTGCACTTCCAAGTCGTAAATAAGAATATAATGTCATTGCTGATTCAGAATCAAATCCTTTTGTCGTCAAGAAATCAAACAGAAAAATTAAAGACGAATTTATAAGTGGAAACGAGACGCATAAGGCTATAACGTATATGATATAAATTCTATTGGTAACCAAGACATGTAACAATTTCATAAAACCGTCCGCTTTTGATAACGATTCAGGCACTAACTCTTGTGATTTGTTAATCGACAGCGGTTTACATACAGCGAAACAACATATCAAATTTGCCGTAAGTCCACCAAAGATAAGCAAGCAACCTCTCCATCCAAACTCTAGAGTCAGGTATTGTAGAATATAAGGAACTAATACAGCACCGCATCCTGTTCCAAACGAGACGAATGACAACGCCATTAACCTGGCATTTCCTTCAAAGTATTCACTGACGCTAGTGGCTGCCGAAATAAACGCTGCTGAGAATCCAAGTCCTGTTGAAAATTAAAATGAATATAATAACCTACTATCAAAGCTATAAGATCCGTGCGTGGGGTTAAACCAGCTAAGGTCACCCAATAGGGCGCATGTCCCTCAAAACTAGTAATCAAAGAACACTATCAAAGAAAGTTTTAATAACGAGGAATATCCACGTGCAATAGACTAAAGTTTTCCAATTTTGGTGTTCTCAAGGGTTTCCAATAATGAAACAACTGCGGTCATGCAAGGTGACGAACAATCGCTTGGTTCATATGTCATGCAGTGGGACCTAACGGTAGAATTAGTATTTATAATGCAAATATTTGTTCTTTTAGATGAACTACTTGTTTACAATGATTGGCAGTTAATTCTTACGGACCTGACTAATTCTTTTAGCCAGCTCTTTATGGTATTGTGTGTGGAAATTGAAATGTCAGAACCCAACAACAAGCAACATACTAGATATATAATCATATGTATATACTTTTCGACATATCGGTTGTTTAAAAGATTCTGCATACAGAACGCCCACTCGAAGCATTTATGTGGAAATGAAAATATAAGACATGTGAATGGAATAAACATGAAAACACACATATCAATATTCTATCGTCAAAAGCTTGTTCGAAAAATACATTTTAAACACTGAAGATATAAATAAACACGTTTACATTAATTTTTACATTAATTTATTTCCGATTGAAAAACATACTATTTGAGAAACCTTGTACGTAGGCTTGATAACCGGAGCGGATGTAAATGAATGAGGGTGGCTTTACCGACTTCTATCAGTGCCGACAAGAGTGATATATATAAACCGATATTTAAGTTTATATTTATATTAAAACTGTTTTGAATTTGACGTCAGATAGTCGACTCTTGATATGTCGACATAGAGTTCACATTGTTGTCTATGAATAAAGAATCCACAAACAGTTAAATTCGCATCGAATTGTATTGATTACATGACTTAGTTTTGATGTTACCTGTCATTAATCCGACTGTAGCTATAAGATAGGGGATACTTGTGGCAAAGAAAGAGAGGACCATTCCGAGTGTTGCCATTGCGCTTCCAGTTATCCCAGCTGTTCTTGCACCATATCTGGCCACAAGCTTCCCACAAATGACTCCTTTATGTTTACAAGTAGAACATATAAGATGAATTTTATTAGAATATTCAGGCGCAAATACAGATATTCATCATGTTATCAACTACGTATATATAGTTAAAACCCCTGAATGCTTGTTTTCAATAATAACAACCTAACAATAAAAATTGCTTACCTGCAATATCTAAAGACCCTATTGTAATTGACTGAACAATAGCTGTTTCCGCCTTGCCTTTCTCAAACGATGTGAGGAGCTCACTGTTAAAGACTGACATATTGAAGGCAAATCCGAGACAAACAAACATGACATAATATCCAGATAACAGCACCATCCACTTTCTTCTACTCGGCGATTCCTTCTGAATATGATCTACGTCTTTGTCAGAACTGAAATGATACGAATTAAAAGAATACTGAATATATGATATATTCGCTATAAAATCCGTCGCTAATAGATAGTTCGTATTAAAAACGTAATTTAAATCAGGACATTGGAATGCACATAGTAATGTCACAGGTTTATACGTTAATGATAAACAACAAGTATAAACACATTACCCTAATTCAATCAGATACTTCTGTAAAGCGGCCAAGTTTCACTTACTCATGGACACCATCATCATATCTTTTGGGTATATTTTTAGAGAATGCAAATGACCAAAACCAGTTTTACAAATTAAAGCAGTGCGTTATATGTAGTCAGAAAAAAAATCAAGAAAATGCCAACATGGCAACATAATCATAATCCAAACTTAAATTCCAAAACATTAGAGCAAAATATGAACAAAAGAACGATTTACACGGAGACCCATGAAAAAGAACAAAGATAATAAGACAAATAAGAACAAGGTAAACAACAATGGAACCAACAGGCAAACAAATGAGCATCAAATACATCCAGCTTCATGCCGCGCGGAGAAATAGTATTTTTTCGATGAGATCACTATGGCGACCATAAAACTTCCCCATAATTTTATCAACCTGCATCTTTTGAATCCTTGTGTTGCGAGTTTATATAATATATTACTATAGGCTATAACACAAAAGTAAGACTTCAGTATCTAGATGTTTCACTCCAAATTGCCCAGAATGATATCCGACAAGTAACAAGTCTATACTTTTCTTGTGCATCCATTTTTGAATTCCTCTTGTCCGAAATATTAGTAAACCAGAGTTGAAGGAGAATGTATCTGATTTTTTCGTCTGGAACAGGTATCATCGACGACGATTATTTAGCTAATGATATGTTAGATCATGTACAACATAGTCTTTGTCAACGAGTGATGAATCACTTCAGGGCACTATTACACCACTCATGTATAAACTTTTTGCAGGAGAGTAATTGTTTTCTTTTGGTAATATTTTGCTGCAGTATTACAGAATTTGAGTTTGGATTAAGACTGTGACATGCTGTTATTTCCTTGTTTGTTCTGTGTATCGAACTTTTTGTGGAACTAAGCCAAAAGACGTATACATATAAACCCAGAACGTCCTGGTTTGTTTTACTTCATTTCACCTTGCCCATATCGACAAGGTAATTCTACAAGCATTAGAAACTCTTTATATGTTTTTAAACACATATGAAAGATGTGTCTTCCCCAAATGAATTCTCACAAATATCATTTTTTCTGCATTCGTTATGTTGATATAATTTTTGTGAAAGATATTCCAAGAAAACATGCTTGGTAGTATAAAGGAACTGCTTGTTTCATCCACGGAACTTTAGGTTGGATATTAGAGAATAGCTGATGTTACGAAAACACACACAAAAATACCGTCATATTAAAAACGTTTGAATACCAAATCACATACAATATAATTTAGGCAAAAGTATCAACAAAAGAAAGATTTACATACAGACTCGTAATAAAGTATAAAGGAAAATTAGACCTGGTGTTATGGAAGGGTAAGCATCTTCTACTTCATCAACGCCATCCGCCATGTAAATCGTGATCAATCTATATAAGATATTGTACAAAATAAGAACATGGTGAACACCTACGGATGATAGTTATTAAAATGATTTAGATGAAGCATATATTAAGGCATTTGGTGTATATTACTTCCAATACAGAACCTTGCAAGTTCAAACACTTCAATATTTTGGATGGTGAATAAGGATCATGTCAGAACTTCATAGATCATATCAATAATTTTATTGTCATTATGCTTTTAACACCACCTACACCACCCTTACTGCTGAAAACATATTACATCATTATTGCATAATATAGGTGCGTCTCTTCTCATAGAGTGTTTGTAGTTATTGCAATAAGGTACAGTTAAAGAAGAACTTACTCATTGTGTGTGGACATGCATAAAGTACAGTAATGTAAATATTGCATAAGAAGATGCTAGTGTTAGAGAATAGAACGAATCATTGTTTTTTCCAGTTGCATCAATATTTAGTTAAAATTACGATTTCGTCATCAAATGATGTTTCTGACCAAACATAACAAAATTCTGCCACATCGCGAGAAAGAACTTCTAAGAAATGGATACATAATAAATATCCTCTGTTGTGTCTTCTGTTCATGTTTACATTTATGAACAATTTGGGTCAAAATAACTTCAATCCAACAAAAGAAGGATTTTGGAATTAAAATAAAATCAACGTGCAAACAGTTCCGTTCAATAAAGTCTATGATATCGACTTTAAAATTAACAGAAGTAATTTAAAGAATGAGTAATTATATCTACTTTGGGTCCTGTACCAAGGGCTCCAGGAGGTCAAGAAAAGAAAATCTATACAAGATTGTTTTCCATTTCACATTATACTGGACCAGGTGGGATAATAATATCTACAGAAAACATGAACATCATGCACATTACAACCTATTCCTGGGTTTTTTTTTTTTTTTTTTTGTCACGGCCGGGCAGAACAGATACATTAATTTACGTGAGTGTTTCGTGTCACTTGCATGAAACAGAAAAACTGTAGCTAAATTATTGAAATCTATATCCATTTCTCCCTTGCCTTGACTGTTGAGATACACGAACAAGATATACCGGCCTGTTTTTTTTTTACGTAATTAGTTGTGTATTTATACAAGTTGTCTTAAATGTCTTAACGACAAACGAGTTCATAATACCTTTTAAAATAATTTAGAATTATAAACAGGAGTATCCAATAATGCATCAAACTGCATCATTCAGCTGTTTCGACCGTCTAGGACTAGTCAGTGACACTACAGACCTGCACGTTGAAGCCTACGAGAGCACTGAGAATAATGAATGGTGCATGAAAAGTCATTAAATCTTGATGAGGAGGCCCCAACCGCATAATTTAGTATTTTTTGGATTTTTTTGTTTGTAATTTTCATATTTGAAACATGCAGTTCCAACACTTGGATTTATAATAAAAAGAAGAAAATATCAATATGTCGACATAATCAAATATGTCGAAATCTTTTCCCGCTTGGTATGAAACAGAAATCGGCTGAAATGTCTTTGTTATCATTCGAGGCTTAGCGAGATCTTGCGAAATCCTTCGATTTCTTTTTCAGTTATATTGATATTTATTTGTCTTTACAGGAAAAAAATAAGCCATCGTATACCCACCTTAATAGGAAATTGATAACATGACGAACTATTTTACATCAATCGCTTGCTTTGAGTCTTTCCTTTAAGAAAATAATCACCGATAGCTTTCCACAAAAAGTATGATAAATGTGATGATTTCAATTTCGCTACTTTTTTGTATTTCTAGAGAGCAGCATTCTCCATCCCGAACCTATGTTTTTTTATATCGCAGTTGATTCAATATTAAAGGGCTGGTGCTCATCACCATTTTCGTGCAAGAACACAAAATACTTGTCTTATTTGGGGTTGTTCTGTTTCGTTATGTGATAAATGACTTAAGTATACCTGTCGGCTCGTCTTTGTTTACCGTGTTCTCATTTGGGAACATATAATTACGTACCTGCATTTGGATTTACCAAGATTCACATGACGGGTGTCGTCGATGAAGCAGAAGACGTTTACTCTTTTTGGAACACCAAGACGTTTTTCCCTTGTGATTTTTTATTTGTATCTGTGTACTTTTTTGTTCATATATTCTGCTCCAGCTCATTAAAACTTTCACCAGTTCCTATCTGTTATAGGTCCAGCCATGCCATTGCTAATATTCATGAAAGTCATTTACACTTCTATCCTGGCAGAATAATCCTTCAGTTGTACCAGTTTCATTGTTATCACGGACTACGTGGTGGTGCACCGACCGAGGGATATCCATAACAGACCAGGACGACACTTTCCTGGATATGCAACTCTGCATGAGACTGCAGTCTTTGTCGATCAGACGAAAAGTATTAATAAAGGTAGAAGACACTGTTGTGTTGAATGTACTTTTTACATAATCCGGAGAAGGATCTTCCCGATGCACCTACCCGTCGTAAAATGAAAAGTAGTAGCAGCTGCGAAAGCAAATCCTTTAATCATCAAAAATTAATCGGCACATCCATCGTTGGGACGGCACAACACCTAGTTAAAGCGTATATCAAACACATTGTCACCGAAAGATAATGATAAGGCTATGGAAAAGCATATCATGCCGCAAAGGCAGCTTTATCGCTAACATCTGTTGTTTTAAACTTCATTTTACTAATTTTAAACAATTTATCAAACAGTTTTTAATAGTTCAGTGGCAGGAGGAATGGAATCAATATACCGATAATAAATTGCACTCAGTAAAACCTATCATTGGTGAATGGTCTCTATGCTATAGAGACAACCACCGAGACGAAGTTGTCCTTGCCCGTCTTGGGAAAGGCTATTCATACCTTACACATTCGTATATGTTGAAAGGCGAAGATAATCCTCGATGCATAGAATGTGATAAATCATTCACCGTTAAACATTTTTATTTTACTGCATTGACCACCTTCTGTCTTCTCAAGAAGTTTTTTCATCGTAACGTTACAAGTCTAAAGACCCTTTTTGAGACTGTCGAGATTTATAAAATCCTAGGTTATCTGAAAGATGTCTTTTACCTTTTAGTATGTTTGATGTTATTTCCTTTTTGGAACGACGCACCTTTCACCAGTTGATGGCCCTAATGACCTTTTATGTCTTGACGGGCCGTTAAAGTTGTAATAATAATAATACCAATGTACATAGCGATTTTATAAACGATTAACCATCAATGGCTGTTTAGTCACGGCATTATCTCAATTTATCACTTCACTTTTAAATATTATAACTGATGTGGTAAGTATGACAACGCCTTCAGCCTTGCTTTTTCTTCCAAATATTGCTAAAAGCTGCAAAGAATTCCGGTCATTTAAGTGGTATAAAGATGATACAATAAAAAGTAACGAAAGACATTTTCACAGGGATCACTACAGGGACACGAAGCATAATTTAATGTTCAATTGAAGACACGACTG